TGTCTGCTAACATATGGCTGGGAGGGAGGGAAGGTCGTCTTTGGAGTTCTTGCCTCTGCCAAACAGAGTGCAACCTCACCAACGTACCATTAATGAAGTTTCAAATCCCATCTTTTCTTCCTGTCCATATCAGTTCTCTAATAATAAGGTTATTTTTTAGGTTGATGCTGACTAGATTATAAACACACCTGAGGGCTGTCCCAATGTATTCAGCAAGAAGGAAAGACAAGAACTCCACAGACATATGGGCATAAAAGTCAGCAAGCCCCAGACTGGAGCTGAGTTTGACAAAGAGCAAAGGGAGCCTGTCCTGGTAAGGTGAAACCTGCTAATACAGCCCTACTGCCAGGCAAGCTGTCCTGCCTGCCAGCAAGTTTGAGATTCTCTGGGCAGCAAGAAAGCTGAATTATCAACTTAAAAATATTAATATCATGATTGGTATGAGGTAATCCATGACTACTCAGGCACTGTTACAATGACTCTGCAGACCTCAAGGATTCTTGCTCTGGAAGGTAAAACTCTTCTGCTGTTTCCTAGTTGCACAGATCATACAAGGTAGTCTATTACAGCTGGCATTAAGGGCTGGGGAGTCTCTCAAGAAAGCAACCCAGATTCACAGACTTTTTATACATAAGGGTGCCCATCATCCAACCACCTGGCTTCTTCATCAGTTTCATATGTCTTACCACCACCTGAAACATCTGGTCCACATCTATATCTTTAAATCTAATAATTGCCTTGACTATCAGGGCAACTATATTTGTGTGAACCAGGCTGACTCTAATATTAACTTGCTGATTAGAAATATAAAGCATGTATGTGGACAACAATTTATAAAAATTGAAGGTTAGGAAACTGCAACCTTTTCAACAAACTTTTGAAGGGACACTGAACATGCTGCACATTTTTTTCTGTATTCTAGGAGAAATTAAAGTGGACATAGTTTATTTTCTAGTCAAAGGACTACTTTAATAATGGATTTATCAACCGTGGGACCAACATCTCCCCATATGAGATTTATGAAACAGGTGTTTTGCCCTGATTCCTTATCAGATTATTAAATACAGGGAGGGCACAGACAGAACAGGTTCAGGGCATATACACAGGTAAGATAGGTGATTTACAGATTCAGAGCCAGTTCAGTTAAGAACCAGCCCAGGTATTTTATTATTCACCATCTTTTTTGTTATTTACAGAACAGATTTCAACTTATCCATTTACTAGCATGTCATATCTGCCCTCTGCCTTTCTCAGTAGGGATTATCTTGTATGTACACAGATGGCTACAGAGCTTGTCTGTCTCTCATCCTCACCTAATCATTAAGGTTCAACAAAAGGTGAACACCACAATTATGAAAGAGCTGACAGAATGTTTAAAAAGCAGCCATGATCAATAGCAGCAAATATACAATTCGAGTGATTAAACTTCTGCTATTCATCACCTAACAAAATGAGAGTGAAATAAAATAGGGAAGAAACACCAGGAAGAAGCCAAATAGGAACTGGAAGCTGATTCTTTAGGATGCCAATAAAAAAATAATGTCATATTCTAGAAGATTCAGGCATATTATTCTCACTGGCTGTCACGCTACATTGCAGGCCCTCAACTCAAAAAACCTCAGCAGTTTAGCCTGTTCAAGACAGTTAATGAACAAATGGACCACATGCCTTTCTAATACCATATTTCAAAGGTCTTAAGAGGTACTAGGGTTTCAGTCTCAAAGGATACCCTATTACAGGTGAGTGTTAAGAGAAAGATATTTAAAGAGAATTAATATGTATTAATTGCCAACAAAGAACAACATAGAAGGTTTTTGCTTCTTCACTATTCACTTGTGATTATATTTTTTTCAAGTGCCAAATTTTCAATCATTACCATGGAGTAATCCTCTGGCATTCCTTGTACAGAATTCTACATCCAGAATAAAGCACTCTTTGTTTCTATAACTTCTGTACTGATCAACATGTCCTTAAGACCTCTCTTCATCTTTTCCTTGCACATGCTACCTGAAACAGCGGTGAGAACAGACCTTGCAGTAAGAAAGCTGGCAGGGAAATGGGGAGAGTTTTGAATACTGTCCATAAGAAATGCACAAATTACAGTGAAAACTGTGCTGGTGAAGAATCTTATATCATACTAATATCTGTCTCTTCCACAGAGTTTAGAGGATGTTTTAGTTTCTGTCAACAAGGCAAGACATTGCTGTGTGGCTATAAAAGCCACTGCAAAGCAATCATGGTAAAAGGCCAATAATTTTTTATAACCCTGGATAAACATCTTTGCCTGTATTTCATCAGGCTTAAGGGAAAGGATAATGCATTGCAAATAACCAAACAGGTGCTCACAGGTTCTTACAATATTTTTAAATTAAATGCCTTCTCCCATGCTATTCCCGTTCTACTAACAAGGGCCGTCTGGGGTCCCATGAAAACTTACCAAGACAGGTTCTGCTACACTTTAAAATTAGAAAAGGTGTTATTAAAGTATGAGAAATATCAGCCTTTATAGTACCCACACATCCCTAAAATATACCCTACAGCTTTTGTCATCAATATCCTTGAGTGCTCTTCTGTGACTTGTGTTGCTGTTATCGGTGTAGGGCCCTGCAGGGGTCTCCAAAGCTGGAAGGCTAATATGACATAGGAAAAAAAAATGCACTGGAGAACGGTAAGGTGAGTGCAGCAAATGTCCTAATAATCTCAGCAGAAGGTATGCATTTCCAGTGTTTCCTGACATTGGCATATACATTTAAGTCTTTCCATTGCAGCATTTCATAACACAAAAAAAAGAAAACAGGAAGCTCTAAATTGGCCAATCTTCTACTTTGCAATTTACAAACCCATAATAGCTAGCAGAAAAATCTAGAGAAAACAAAGATGGTGTAGAGGTGGTATGTGCTAGTCTATTAAAAGAACAAAGCTCTGCCTAATGTTAAAGCAGTAAAATTATTCTTTTGAAAAATTAACTTGTAATTGAAATATTCAACAGCATTTCTGTTGGGTGCTTCTAAACATGAAACTACATGTTCCACTAAGAAGCCCAGCAAAACAAACCCAAATTAACCCCAGTCTCCAGAAACAGAGAAATAATATAACCCTTTGTTTTCATTGTGGTTCTTCTTAAACGGAAAAGTAATTTTAAAATTTATTTTTATTTTGAATTTTTAAATTACCAACTGGCTTTGCTAAGACACAGGGAAATCCAAAGTACCAAACTAATCTAAAGTTAGATGTCTTGAAAGGTCTGCACCTGAATCATCGTTTCCCAAGAATAAAGTGAAGTACAACAAAGATTTGGAGATTTGTGATACCACAGATTTTCTTCCCTGACACCCCAGTTGCAAAGAAGGTTAAAACTATTCCCAGTGTACCAGTAATTAGGGGACCCTTGTCATTTACCTTTGCTTTCTCTCTTAGCAATTATTCCAACACCTGTTGCCTTGTAAAATGTCACCGATAACTTTACAGACTTCACGTGACCTGTGAGCATCAAATTTTGTGCTTCTGGAAAATGGGCTTTTTAATAATCTTTTAATCAAAATGAAGAGAGTGAGTTGATTTGTAGCAACTGCCAGGAGAATCCATCTTTGGTCTTATGAACTATTTTTTTGCCACCATATCACTTGTTGTTAAAGCAATCATGGATCGTGGGTATGTATGAGAACTAGTGTTTTCTGCAACCATTGGAACTATTAGGAAAGAAAAGTTTAATCTGCTTATTAAGGGATGGAGTGAATAAAACCCCCTACACATCTCAGATTATGTAAATCAGATCACCTCTAAAGTCTTAACCCTCAACAGTGCAGAACTCCCGTGACTGCACATCAGGGTCCCATCTGCAGACCTGAAAGCCTCTTAACAACAAACCAGCAGAGATCACCCATGGTTCGATAGCAGGAACTAGCCCATGAAAACAGTCATGCAAAACAAAGGGATTAGTTATACAACTCTGATTTGTTAGATGGCCACAATACCAGTTGAGGACAGCTATTTCAACTGTGATATACACCTTGGCAATGAAAGCACGAGCCATTACAAACAAAAAGAAATATTTTTGGTGAAACAAAGAATCACAACATCTGAGTATTTCTGAAGTTGGTGAATAACAATAAAGGGAGTCTGGAAGTGCAGAGAACACCTTCAGCCATCAATAACATCATAATTAACTGACTATTACTAGGCAAAGATCCAGGTTACATTTTTTTAAATGCTCTGAGATTGATTTTTGTTTTTATTACAGTGCTAAGTAATAATGTGTCAATATTTTCTAATAGATTGTCTAGGAACAAAAATGGGGAACAAGCCTGACCTTAGACAAGTATACTTCATCACTGACGATGAAGAAACGTGAAGGGGAGAGCACAAAATTTCTGTTTGTATTTGGAATTCGCGTATCTAACAGGTTTTTTTAGGTAAGAACAAGGCTAAAGGAACGGATACTTTTCAAGCCCTCTAGGTTGCACTGTGATGGTGAGGCAACCCATTTGAATGCATTTATGTAGAACAGACAGTTGGATACGTCCTGTATTTTGTGTTCTCCAAGTAATTAAAAATTACTCAGAAGTCACGACATGACTTTTATTTCTCTTCTCGCTCTCAAATGAATACGGAGTTAGAATTTAAGAACTGACAAAATTGTGATTCAAAAAGTCCTTAAACACTAGACCAAATGTAAGAGTATTTGAAATGAGTGTCCAAGTACGCCACTTCATGCAACATCAAGAGTTACTTCTGAACACTGGAAATGCCACGAATTCAGCTTCCACCTCCAAGAAGTCGGTGTGAGCGAATGAGAGCGTGACTGGGCCTTCTGTGGGAAGCTGTGGTCTCCCCTTGTGTGGTTTCACCACTGAATGAAGCAAACTTCAGAAGTTAGTATCTGTTTCTCAAGGTGCTGAAACTTTGTCACCCCACCCCTTTCAGCAGATCACTTGCATCTGTCAGACACTAGAGTTGTAAAGCAATATTAAAAACTTGCAGAATGCCAGACACTTCCTTACCATAGCCAAAGGGAGAACTCCTACCAAGTCCTTCTGGCTTACGTAGATCTTGGAGATTCCTAGATCAGATGTTGTATCTCCAGGATATTCTACCTGCCATGTGATGAGCTGGGTCCCAGGTAGATCAGTTAGGTCTTCAATTTCAAAATCAATCTGCATAATTTCAGAGGAAGGACCATCCGCACTGCAAGAAAGAAAGAAAAAGAAATGTTCCATTCACATGACTGATAACCCAGCAATATAATTGCTTTCATATTAATAAAACATTGGATTAAGGTTCTTCCAAAGAGAGGATTTGGTGGCATGATGGATTTAATAATGAATTAATCATTTGCACTTGTCTTAAGATTTCCCATACATTCAAAGTGGCTTAGTAACACTCTGTGACATGGATCACTAAGTATCGCTCCATTTTACCAGTGGAGAAACAAAACCAAATCAAGATAAAGCTAAGGCTAAAGCTACAGACTAAAAATCCTGACTACAATGCTCTCTCTTTAACAAGCACATTGTATTTTTTCCCTGTTAAAGCAACACATGAGCAATCTAAAGGGAATCACTCCTGGAAATGACTGCATTAAAAGTACTTTTTGCTTTTTAAAAAGGGAAGCATGGAAGAGAGGTCAGAGCTCAGGATGGGGTCTGTGAACCAGGGCAGCAGGGAGCAGAGGACTGGAAAATTTGGGATTAATTGTTGGCTGTACTGCTACCTTGCTGTGAATGTCTGTCTCAAGCTCCTTTTTTCCTTTGCTAAACTAGGAATTATAGCTCATTTAGCTTGTTGTGGGAGAAGAGTTACAAAACTGGATTATTTAATATTGGCTAATCCTGTCAGGATCCTTGATTAAAACACACTAGAAAAGAACAAAGTTAGTATATGTGATTCTCCAGAATACTCTGGCAACATTGAGGTTACTGATACCTTATCAATGCTACTTTGACTTTACATGCTGTCCTTCCTAAGGCTACATGGTTCATGTAAGTGGATGCCATAAAGCAGAAATGTAAAGAGGGAAAATTGGAAAGGGGCTCATTGGTGCAATCTCTGCAAAGCTTGTTATAAAATCAGCTACTGTATAGAAAGCAATGCAGTAAAGTTTCTATTGTGTATCTTGGCAAGGTGAGCTCCATAGTCCAGTGGCATTTATAGAGACAAGAAAATACTCATTTACTGTAAAGTTGTTGAGGAATGCAGAATTTCTTAGCAGGGCAGAAATCCAGGGGACATAGAGAATGACAGTGCTTTTACTTCTGAAGCACTGAAGGTAGAACAGATCTTCAGTGTTTGTGTGGAGGGGAAAGGAAAGAGCAGAATTTCATCCAGCAGGATAGCATTCAAGGAGAGAAAGAATGGCACAACACTAAATGTGTGAGAGTGCAGCTAGAGAAAAGGAAAACATTACAGCAACTGATTAGAGAATGCCAGAACATGCCTGAAATCACACAGGTTTTCCCAGTTTATGTGGAAAAAGAGCTAAAACTAGGCATATTTTTTAAGAAGACCAGTCATGACAACAGCCCCAGTTTGGGATCCTTCCCAAAATACTCAGATATTTTTATCATGCTGGTTAAATCCAATGCTTTATCCAAAGCTACTGCTTGAAGAGTTTAATCTGATCATCTTAAAGGTTTGATTTTAACAGATGTATTGAGTCGTTGCTATCCTGGATGGAATCTAAAAGGAGCCTCTGTGTTTCCAAAATGAAACACATTGTGTTCATTTTCTCATTTCTTCATGTCAGGAGAAAAAGAAAAAAAAGAGCACAATTTCTAAACTAGCACTGAATGTAGTCTTAT